TTAGTAGTGGTGTAGTAGTAGTGGTGTAGTAGTAGTGGTGTAGTAGTAGTGGTGTAGTAGTGGTGTAGTAGTAGTAGTGGTGTAGTAGTAGTGGTGTAGTAGTAGTAGTGGTGTAGTAGTAGTGGTGTAGTAGTAGTGGTGTAGTATTAGTAGTGGTGTAGTAGTAGTAGTAGTGGTGTAGTAGTAGTGGTGTAGTAGTAGTAGTGGTGTAGTAGTAGTGGTGTAGTGTTGGTGTCGTATTAGTAGTGGTGTAGTAGTAGTGGTGTAGTAGTAGTGGTGTAGTAGTAGTAGTGGTGTAGTGTTGGTGTCGTATTAGTGGTGGTGTAGTAGTAGCAGTGGTGTAGTAGTAGTGGTGTAGTAGTAGTGGTGTAGTAGTAGTGGTGTAGTAGTAGTGGAGTAGTATTAGTAGTGGTGTAGTAGTAGTGGTGTAGTAGTAGTAGTGGTGTAGTAGTGTAGTAGTAGTAGTGGTGTAGTATTAGTAGTGTAGTAGTAGTAGTGGTGTAGTAGTAGTAGTGGTGTAGTAGTAGTTGTGTAGTGTTGGTGTCGTATTAGTAGTGGTGTAGTAGTAGCAGTGGTGTAGTAGTAGTGGTGTAGTAGTAGTGGTGTAGTAGTAGTGGTGTAGTAGTAGTGGTGTAGTAGTAGTGGTGTAGTAGTAGTGGTGTAGTAGTAGTAGTGGTGTAGTAGTAGTGGTGTAGTAGTAGTGGTAGTAGTAGTAGTGGCAGTAGTAGTAGTGGTGTAGTAGTAGTGGTGTAGTGTTGGTGTAGTAGTAGTGGTGTAGAAGTAGTGTGGTGTAGTAGTAGTGGTGTAGTAGTAGTGGTGTAGTAGTAGTGGTGTAGTAGTAGTGGTGTAGTATTGGTAGTGGTGTAGTAGTAGTGGTGTAGTATTAGTAGTGGTGTAGTAGTAGTGGTGTAGTAGTAGTGGTGTAGTAGTAGTGGTGTAGTAGTAGTAGTGGTGTAGTAGTAGTAGTGGTGTAGTAGTAGTAGTAGTGGTGTAGTATTAGTAGTGGTGTAGTAGTAGTGGTGGTAGTAGTAGTGGTGTAGTATTAGTAGTGGTGTAGTAGTAGTAGTGGTGTAGTAGTAGTGGTGTAGTAGTAGTGTTGGTGTAGTATTAGTAGTGGTGTAGTAGTAGTAGTGGTGTAGGTGATCTTCCGATTGCTGCTCTCTCAGAGGAGGGGTTGGATGGAAGGAGTCACGGGGACGAGGGGGGAAAGATGGAGGAGGGGAAAAGAGGGGAGGGAGGGGGGTGGCGGGGGAGGAGTCAGGGGTGGTGGGAGGGAATAAATCTATAACTATTTTCAAATCCGGAATTTGAGGTTCAAGGTTCAAGCCTTAATAAACCTGAACAAATCTTCACGGTACTATCTATTATCTCCGTTAAAAAGTCCACGCAGGTTAGAAAGGCACAAAATGAAGACTAAATCAACGGCGTTCCGACGGACAGATCTTCGCCGCACTTTCTGTTATCTTCGTTAAAAAGTCCACGCAGGTTTGAAAGGCAAAGCGAAGAATAAATCACGACGTTTCGGGCAATCGTCATCGGGCAGGAGAGCCGGTCGCCTGTGTTGCGACCGTACAGACACCACAGGGTAGGATGCGGGAATGAGCACCGAATGAAATGAACGAACGAACGAACGAACGAACCGTGCACGGTTGCGCACATTAGCCAGTGAGAAGAGACACGGCGTGAATGAATGAATGAATGAACGGATGGATGCGTTCATTCATCCGTTCGTTCATTCGGGGCGTGCACGGAATGCGTCCGTGAGCGGGTGATCGAGAGACGGAGGTGATGGGGAGAATTGAGACTTGCCGGTGAGTGAGCAGCGAACGGGAGAGGCGACGAGCGAACGAATGAGATCGCCCCCAAAGAGTGAATGATGCGACCACGTTGATGGATCAACGGATCTACCGTTTTGCGCTTGACACCTACCACGTGATGACCTTACGGTCGAGAACCAACGCATGTATATATATATTCCTGCGGTCACGGAAACCTCCAAGCGAAGGTGACGAATACCAAACTAAAAAAATGTTTTTCCCCCCCCATAAGAAATAAAAGTGAGTGGAAATAATCCGTTCCAGAGTATAAGGAGTTATAGTTTATACTAGCGGTAAGCACCCGGCGTTGCCCCGGGTCAAAAAAAAAAACATCTTTGAGAGCTGCTCTTAAAAAAACCTTACGTGTACTCTTTGGTTCTATTCGGTAAAAGTCACGTAGTAGGTAAAAAATAAACAACAAAAATCACGACGTTTCGGCCACAACACAAGCGGCCTCCTTCAGGCGAGGGAACAGGACCGGTCGGGGCGACGGAGCTACAGTGACCGCCGCCCTAGATTCGTAGCGTCTTTTTTGAAGCTCGGCGGGAGGAACAGGGCCCCGCCCGACAAAGGAGGTTAACATATCGAAAAAATTAGCTGTGTTAAAGCGTCGAAGCAACAGGGCGTTACGGTCAGACAATTAGCTGGGGGGGGATCAGCATGTTTTTGTTTTTGTTGTTGTTGTTGTTGCGTAGAGGGTGCGGAGGACGGGTCACCGCGCCCGCGCGATAGAAACGGAGGGAAATTTTTTTTTTAAAGATCGGCTAAAGGATGTGCCGTCAGGGGACGAGTAGAAAAAAGGGTTTAAAAGAAAGTTCTGAAGGAATCTGCTTGGTATATACCCATTACTTGAAATTTGCTGTTCGAAATTAGCCGACATTTGGTGTGATTCAGAAGGTCTCTCCAATGAATTTTTCGATTTAAAGCTTTCGTGACCGCAAGGATTCATCCTTCTTTGGCTCTTTCGGTAAAGTCACGTAGAAGGGAAACAATAACCTGATGATGATTTAGATTTAAAGCTTTCGTGACCGCAAGAATTCATCCTTCTTTGGTTCTTTCGGTAAAGTCACGTAGAAGGGAAACAATAACCTGATGATGATTTAGATTTAAAGCTTTCGTGACCGAGAAGGATTCATCCTTCTTTGGTTCTTTCGGTAAAGTCACGTAGAAGGGAAACAATAACCTGATGATGATTTAGATTTAAAGCTTTCGTGACCGCAAGAATTCATCCTTCTTTGGTTCTTTCGGTAAAGTCACGTAGAAGGGAAACAATAACCTGATGATGATTTAGATTTAAAGCTTTCGTGACCGAGAAGGATTCATCCTTTGGTTCTTTTGGTAAAGTCACGTAGAAGGGAAACAATAACCTGATGATGATTTAGATTTGAAGCTTTCGTGACCGCAAGGATTCATCCTTCTTTGGTTCTTTCGGTAAAGTCACGTAGAAGGGAAACAATAACCTGATGATGATTTAGATTTGAAGCTTTCGTGACCGCAAGGATTCATCCTTCTTTGGTTCTTTCGGTAAAGTCACGTAGAAGGGAAACAATAACCTGATGATGATTTAGATTTGAAGCTTTCGTGACCGAGAAGGATTCATCCTTCTTCGGCTCTTTCGGTGAAAGCCACCGCCTCGTAGAATGGGAGTGAAAATAATAAATTGATCAAGTAAAATAACGCGGTGAAACTCTCACGACGTTTCGGGCACAACAACACAAGCGGCCCCCTTCATCAGGTTGAAGGGACGAGACTCCAGACAGTCTCGCCCAGACAGTCTCGCCCAGACAGTCTCGTGCCTTCACCTGATGAAGGGACGAGACTCCAGACAGTCTCGTCCCTTCACCTGATGAAGGTCTCTCCAATGAATTTGATGAAGGGACGAGACTCCAGACAGTCTCGTCCCTTCACCTGATGAAGGTCTCTCCAATGAATTTGATGAAGGGACGAGACTCCGGACAGTCTCGTCCCTTCACCTGATGAAGGTCTTTCCAATGAATTTGATGAAGGGACGAGACTCCGGACAGTCTCGTCCCTTCACCTGATGAAGGTCTCTCCAATGAATTTGATGAAGGGACGAGACTCCAGACAGTCTCGTCCCTTCACCTGATGAAGGTCTCTCCAATGAATTTGATGAAGGGGCGAGACTCCGGACATTCTCGTCCCTTCACCTGATGAAGGGGCCCGCCCCGTCTTGTTGGGCCGAAACGTCGTGAGAATTTCACCGCGTTATTCTATTCTATCCATTTATTATTTTCACTCCCATTCTATGTGGCGGTGGCTTTCACCGAAAGAACCAAGTAAGATGGCCTCTCTCTCTCCCCTCTCTCTCCCCTCTCTCTCTCTCTCTTTCTCTCCCAATGGTGGCTTAATTTGAAAAGCCACCCTCTCGGTTTGAAGTTACGCCTGTGGCTTGCATATCCGAATGGCTCCGTGGACACGTCTCTGGTGATATAACCTGTAGGTCTGCGGAGGACCTTGGCAGCGGAGAAGACAATCTCATGATCGCTCAAAAAAGTTGGGTCCGTTCGATGGACGCCTGTGGCTCCGGTGATGCCAAGATTTCTGATTCCTGATTCCTGATGATTTCTGATTCCTGATGATTCCTGATTCCTGATGATTTCTGATTTCAGGGCTGCGGCCTTCCGCGGTCCGTCACGTCAGCCGAGCTCCACTGCTGAAAACCCCAAAAATGTCGCTCCAGGACACTGAGGGGAGTTTCTTTATTGAAACTTCATCAACACCAATTGGTTGAGACCTCGCCTATGCCACCCCATGTGTGGGGGGGGGGGGCCGGGGAGGTCACGGGGAGGGGTCACGGGGAGGGGTCACGGGGAGGGGTCACGGGGAGAAGTGGGGTGGGGGAGAGGAGGAGGAGGAGGAGCGGGGGGAGGGGAGAACGAGGGGGGAGGAGTCACGGGGAGGAGTCACGGGGAGGAGTCACGGGGAGGAGTCACGGGGAGGAGTCACGGGGAGGAGTCACGGGGAGGAGGGGTCGTGGTAGTGGTGGTGGTGTAGTATTAGTAGTGGTGTAGTAGTAGTGGTGTAGTATTAGTAGTGGTGTAGTAGTGGTTGTGTTGGTGTAGTCGTGGTAGTAGTCGTGGTAGTGTTGGTGTAGTCGTGGTAGTGTTGAGTAGTGGTGTAGTCGTGGTGTAGTAGTAGTGTAGTGGTAGTAGTAGTAGTGTAGTAGTAGTGTTGGTGTAGTAGTGTTGATGTAATCGTGGTAGTGTTGAGAGCTCTGCTGCTGCTGCTGTGTGAAGGCGACTCTGTGGCTCGGCTCTCTCCTCCACTCTCCGTAAGCTCCAGGTGAGAGCGAATGAGTGAGTGAGTGAGAGGGTGAATGAGTGAGTGAGTGGGTGAGAGAGTGAATGAGTGAGTGGGTGAGTGGGTGAGTGAGTGAGTGGGTGAGTGGGTGAGTGAGTGGATGAGTGAGTGAGTGGGTGAGTGAATGTGTGAGTGAGTAAGTGAATGAGTGTGTGAGTGAGTGAATGTGTGAGTGAGTGAGTGGGTGAGTGAGTGAGAGAGTGAGTAGGTGAGTGAGTGTGATTGAGTGAATATGTGGGTGGGTGTGTTGGCATTCATAGACATTGCTACTCGCTACTAGCAGCACTTGCCCCTTCAGCCCTGTTAGAGGCTACCTGGGGGAGCTTTGTCTGTGTGTGTATCATAGGTGCTGCTACTCGCTACTAGCAGCACTTGCCCCTACAGCCCTGCTAGAGGCTATCTGGGGGAGCTTTGTCTGTGTGTGTGCGTTTGTGGGAGTTTTTGTGAATATTTATGGAATTCTGCTGTTGCTGATAAGAGCGCTGTGGTTAGAATAAGTACGCACGTGTGGGTGTGGGTGAGTGTGTGAGTATGTGAGTGTGTGTGTGAGTGTGTGTAAGAGTGTGTGAGTGTGGGTGAGTGAGTGTGTGAGTGAGTGTGTGTCTGTGTGTGTCTGTGTGTGAGTGTGGGTGAGTGTGAGTGTGGGTGAGTGTGAGTGAGTGTGTGTGTCTGTGTGTGAGTGTGGGTGAGTGAGTGAGTGTGTCTGTGTGTGAGTGTGGGTGAGTGTGTGAGTGAGTGTGTGAGTGAGTGTGTGAGTGAGTGTGTGTCTGTGTGTGTCTGTGCGTGAGTGAGTGTGGGTAAGTGAGTGAGTGTTTGTGAGTGTGTGTGTGAGTGTGTGCGTGTGAGTGTGTGTGAGTGAGGTTGGTCCAGCCACTTTAGAGCCCATTTCATAAGTTGGAAACTATAGAAGTGATCCCTGAAAGTATAGTCTGCCTCCTGCCAGCGGGCGTTCGACACTTCACGTGGCCTCAAGGTGCACATGGCCTGGCACAAGCGTCGTGGTGACGTCACCGCCACTTAGTGGCGAATGGCGGTTGTTGTTGTGTGTGTGAGTGTGTGTGTTTATGTGTTTGTGTGTGTGTTTGTGTGTGGGTGTCTGTGTGTGAGTGTGTCTGTGGGTGTGTGTCTGTGTGTGGGTGAGTGTTTACGTGTGAGTGTGCTTGTGAGTTTGTGTGTGAGAGTGTGTGTGTCTGTGTGAGTGTGTGTAGTCCATCAAAAACAACCCCCTACCTCCTCGTGGTGCCGGACGGCAACGCTGTGGTGGGCAGTACCGTGGGGGGAGGTCCAACTTAAATTGGCCATTCCCTTCATGGCGTCTGTGACCACCACAGGGGCTAAACAGGGGCTCTGGACGGGTGCGAGGGGCTAGTAACCCCTCCACCTTCAATTAATTACCACTAAACTACAATGTAAACAACTTAATAAGCTTGTGCCGGAGGCCCCGGGGGGACAGGCGTCTATGACATCTCCTGGCCAAACCCCAATTGGCGGAGCCAGGAGATTGAATCTCAACCCTCGGGGCTCCTCCAGAAACAACGAAAAGCCACTTCGTGTGGCCACGTGGAATGTTCGAACGCTCACTGCGGAGGAGAGGCTGCCACTCCTCTGTCGGGAGCTGGACCGGTACCGCCTGGATCTATGCGGCATTCAGGAGGTCCGGTGGACCGGTTCTGGCGCCTGCCACCGTGAGGGGTGGACAGTCCCTCTACTCGGGGCAGCAGACTGCCAAACAACAGGGTGTGGGTCTTCTGAATAAAAGAATGAAGGGGGCGTGGGAGCGTGGCGGTGAGGTGTGGGAAGCTGTAAGTTCCAGGTTACTTTGGGCTCGCCTTCCCATCAACCGGAGGCGAGGATTGGTGGTCGTGGTTACTTATGCTCCCACCGAAGACGAACATCCGTGGAGGGATGCAGGCAAAGCCGATGAGTCAGATGCCTTCTATGACCTCCTGTCACAGGTGCTGGCTAAAGTGGCCCCTCGGGATAGAGTCATCTTGTTGGGTGACTTCAATGCCCGAGTTGGTCATGATGCTGGCACCTGGTCTGGAGTGATTGGAGGGCATGGGCCAGATCAACTCAATAACAACGGTAGGAGGCTGCTAGATTTTTGTGCAGCCCATGGGCTTGTAATTACTAACACGCTGTTCCGGCATCGGCGCATCCACACAACATCATGGATGCACGCTGGGTCCAAGCAAGAACATCTGCTGGACTACGTAGTGACGGACCAGCGGATGGGAGCCCATGTCCTTGACACCAGCACCTACCGTGGAGCTGATCTGCCCTCTGACCATCGACTTGTCATCTGTAAGATGCGCCTGCCATTCTTCCGCTCCGGTGGTGGGTGTACACCCAGGACCCCATTCCAACCTAAGGTGGCCTGGTCTCAGCTAGCTGACGAAAGTTGCGAGTGCCCCGAGTAGGGGACTGTCCACCCCTCGTGGTGGCAGGAGCCAGAGCCGGTCCACCGGACCTCCTGAATGCCGCAGAGATCCAGGCGGTACCGGTCCAGCTCCCGACAGAGGAGTGGCAGCCTCTCCTCCGCAGTGAGCGTTCCAACATTCCACGTGGCCACACGAAGTGGCTTTTCGTTGTTTCTGGAGGAGCCCCGAGGGTAGAGATTCAATCTCCTGGCTCCGCCAATTGGGGTTTGGCCAGGAGACGTCATAGACGCCTGTCCCCCCAAGGGCCTCTGGCACAATCTATCTTAGTTGGATATTTTTCCACGTGGCTTAGTGGTAATTAGTTGAAGGTGGAGGTTTAAGTAACCAACCACCACTCTCTGGTTCATATTGAGGCGAGCTCACAGCAGTCTGGAGCTCTGACCGCTCTCACCGCTACCATCACACGCACCACCCCACTCCTACGCACGAACACGCACACACGCGCACACACGCACGCACGCACACGCACACATGCGCACACACACACACGGCACACACACTAACTCACACACACACACACACACTAACACACACACACTAACTCACACACACACGCACGCACACACACACACGCACACACACTAACTCACGCACACACACTAACTCACACACACACACACTAACACACTAACACACACACACACTAACTCACACACACACGCACGCACACACACACGCACACACACTAACTCACGCACACACACTAACTCACGCACACACACTAACTCACGCACACACACTAACACAGCACACACACGCACACACACTAACTCACACACTCACTAACTCACACACACACGCAACAACAACAACAACCGCCATTCGCCACTAAGTGGCGGTGACGTCACCACGACGCTTGTGCCAGGCTATGTGCACCCTGAGGCCACGTGAAGTGTCGAACGCCCGCTGGCAGGAGGTCACGGGGCAGACCCAGGTGCCACGGGTCGACTGGCTGAGATGACTGGCTGATGCACCACCTGTGCCCCCTACTGTACCAACCTGCTGTGCTTTAGCCACCCGGCGCTCCGCTCGCTGTTGTGAGCGTCGCTCCTCCGCCCTCCGTTGTTGTTGGAGGGCGACTGCCTCCAACTGCCCAGTAGCGTCCTTCACGAGCCTCCTCCACAGAGGCCGATCTTGACACCGCTGGTACCAGTCATCGGCAAGTCCACTCAGCTCCACGTCCTCCTGTACCACATCACTCCATCTCTTCTCTAGCCCGTGCCGCGCCCGCTTAGCCCCCTCAATCTGGCCAAACAAAAGCTGTTTCGGCATGCGGTGGCTGGGCATGCGGGCTACATGACCCAGCCATCGCAGCCTTGCCTGCCGGAGGAGCTCACCGATGGGACCCTGCCCAGATCTTTCAAGGATTTGTGAGCTCCTCACACAATCCAGTCTGGTTAAACCCAGGATGGATCGTAGGCAGGCCAGCCTAAATGTTTCTAACCGGCGAAGATGTTCCATTAGGGGGGTCCACGTTTCGCAAGCGTAGAGAAGGAAGGGAATGACCGTGGCCGAGAAGACCTGAAGCTTAGTGCGGAGCGACAGACCAGGTAGCTTCCACACAGCGTTACGCAACCGATGAAAAGATATTGCCGCTCGACTGATTCGGAGTGAGACCTCTGCTGTTAAACTGGAGCCAGTCATAAGCACACTGCCCAGGTATGGGAAACTTTCCACTCTCTCCACAACTGCCCCATCACCGATTGGGAGTTGTGGGGGTGGAGTGTCCGATGGTACAAAATACCCAGGCAGGTGCTTAGTTTTGGTGGGGCTGATGGTAAGGCCCCACCTCTTAGTGGCACGCTCCAGTCTCAGCAGCAGCGTCTCCAACTCCTCCTCTGACTGAGCAGCTATTACCAAATCATCAGCATACATAACGTGGTTGAGCAATAGGGAGCCATCCCTTGACCGCACCCGGGCATCGATTAGCCTCCCATTATATCTGTACCATATGGAGATTCCCCCGGTACAGCTATTGAAGGCTTCACGAACTACGTGGTCAAAATAGATGTTAAATAATGTGGGAGCCAGAGGACATCCCTGTCGCACCCCAAGGTGTACAGGGAATGGCTCTGACTCCCGGCCACGTAGTTTTACCCGGGCCCGCTCACCATCATGAAGGTCCTTAATGATCGTGAGCAGAGGGTCAGGTACTCCAAAAGCACGAAGAACGGCCCAGAGCCCAGGCCTACTGATGGTATCATAGGCCTTGACCAGGTCAATAAAGCAGAGATGTAGGTCTTGTTGGAATTCCCTACACCTCTGCTGTAGCAGACGGACAGAAAATATGGCATCTGTGCACACACGCACACACTAACACACACGCACACACTAACTCACACACACACTAACACACACACTAACACACACACTAACTCACACACACACACTCACATACACACACACACACTAACACAACACACACACACTAACTCACACACACTAACACACGCACACACACACACACTAACTCACACGCACACACTAACTCACACACACCACACACACACACACTAACACATGCACACACACACACGCACACACACTAACTCACACACACACTAACACACGCACACACACAAACTCACACACACACACACTAACACACGCACACACTAACACACGCACACACACACACACACACTAACTCACACACACTAACTCACACACACACTAACTCACACACACACTAACACACATACACACTAACACACACACTAACACACGCACACACACACACTAACTCACACACACACACACTAACACACACTAACACACACACTAACACACACACACACTAACTCACACGCACACACTAACACACGCACACACTAACACACGCACACACTAACACACGCACACACTAACACACTCACACACTAACACACGCACACACTAACACACGCACACACTAACACACGCACACACTAACACACGCACACACTAACACACGCACACACTAACACACGCACACACTAACACACGCACACACTAACACACGCACACACTAACTCACACACACACTAACTCACACACACACTAACTCACACACACACTAACACACATACACACTAACACAAAGACAAAGACAAAGATCCCCCATATAGCCTTAACAGACTGTAGGGGCAAGTGCTGTTAGCGAGCACCTATGAAGGCCGGAACGGTACACGAGGGGGTGGGTGGCCAGCACCACGCCCGACCGCCTTTGTCTCCCTAGTAGCAATGTTTACACACCGCACCAGGTACTCATTTGAGGCTGAGTCGACCTAGGGGAGGCCCGGGACTGGTTCAGATAATCGTCACTGGTGTTGGCCGTGAGCGGGAATCGAACCCTGGTCGCCAGGTTCATAGTGCAGCGCGCTAACCGCTACACTATCGCTCCCCACCACACACTAACACACACACTAACACACGCACACACACACACTAACTCACACACACACACTAACACACACTAACACACACACTAACACACACACACACTAACTCACACACACACACACACTAACTCACACACACACTAACTCACACACACACTAACACTAACACACACCACACCACACACACAGACAGCAGGAGCTATGCCGCGTGGCTCTTGTTGCATATATAGGTGTTATGAAAATTGATGAAAATAATGAAAATTAAATGAAATTTGAGATTTGCATAATTTATCCGGAATTATGTTAATCAGTGTAATTACGCGCATAAATTATGCTGATTCGAGAGATAATCGTATTAATTTATGCGAGTGGGCGTGGTTAGGATAATGCAAGTCGTTATGGATTATCAGGTCGAGCCTCGGTGACTAGGATTGTGTTATGAATTGGAATGACGCAATTAATCGTATGCAGTGACGCAGGCGTTGTGAGCGTGAATGAGAGAGAGTCGATTCGACTCTGCTCTTTAATTCCGTATTATCGATAAGGATACGATTACTCTCGATTGAACATTACGAATTATGTGTGCTATGGATTATGTGTGCTGATAGTGTGCTTATGATAGGTCCCCAGGATTCAGATCTCATACGCAGAACAATATTATGCAGAATTTCAGGAAGAATCACACACAAACCTTCTGCTTTGATCAATTTCATTTTCTAGCTAACTTTAATTTTTGGATAATATGAAAACTCAATCTCGGGATGTTGGAATTTCAACACAGCGTGAACATGATACCATCACGATTACGTTGTTTCACCTCGATAGCGGCACCTGTGGTTAATTCCCGACGCGTAACGCAATCGATCGGTTGTTGAGAGAGAGATTAAAAACAAGCGAACTATTCTATCAAAACCTTAACCTTATAATATGCAAACTCGTATTCTTGAATGATTACACAACACGGCACTCGGTCTTTGATTCGTATCCAATCCTTAACACATTCTGATATGCGAAATTATTATGCTTGAAATCGTCAGCACAGTACCACGGCGATGTTCGTTCATTGATTCATCAACGATTATGCAATTAAAGCGTTCGACTGAAATAATTCTGATTGCCTCATCAACGTAACTCAATGGGTGGCGATGTTTTTCGTTATCAGCTAATAGTTGACGCAGTTAATCATGAGTCTTGTATGTTTAATGGGAGGGTTGTTGATTTCTTGCATTGAGCAAACGCCTAGGTTGATTTCCTTGTCAAAAAAAAATGTTTGTTCGTTCGTTGTGTAGCGGTGGGGGAGTGAGAAGGGAGTGTGGGGGAGGGGCATACGAACGGCTGCCAGTTTCTGTCCCCCGCTGGCTGGATGAGTCAGCGCGATGCTCGCCGTCGTCGCGCCGATGGGCGTTGGGTGCGGGGCCGCTGCCCTCTCAGCGCTGGTGACGCGAAGTTGCGCACTGTAGCAACGCTGGTGGCGCGCTGTTGGCACGCGCTGGTGCTGGTGCTGGTGGCACGCTGGTGGCACGCTGTTGGCACGTGCTGATGCTGGTGGCACGCTGGTGGCACGCTGTTGGCACGCGCTGGTGCTGGTGCTGGTGGCACGCTGGTGGCACGCTGTTGGCACGCGCTGGTGCTGGTGCTGATGGCATGCTGTTGGCACGTGCTGATTCTGGTGGCACGCTGTTGGCACGTGCTGATGCTGGTGGCACGCTGGTGGCGCGCTGTTGGCACGCGCTGGTGCTGGTGCTGATGGCACGCTGTTGGCACGTGCTGATGCTGGTGGCACGCTGTTGGCACGTGCTGATGCTGGTGGCACGCTGGTGGCACGCTGTTGGCACGCGCTGGTGCTGATGCTGGTGCTGATGGCACGCTGGTGGCGCACGCTCCCTCTCCTTGAAGATGCGCGAACGCGCCCGTGCCGATTCGCCGACAGCAGTTTCTCTCCGCTGCTGGATGAGCTGCGCCGGCGCGCGCTCTTTCCGCTGCTGTAGTATCTGACGCTGCGCTCGCGGGCGACAGGTCAAGTTTTTCTTCTGCTGAGTGAGCCGAGTGGCACGCGCCCCTCTCTCTTTGTTGAGGTTGTTGGCGGCTCTCTGACAGCAGGTTTCCTCCACTGCTGTATGACTCAAGTCGCACGCGCTTGGTCACTGGTTTGCTGAAGTTGTTGGCGGCTGCTCGTGCTTTCCCGCTGCTGGTTGAGCCACGTTGCACGCGCTTGCTTTGTGGAGATGCTCGAGCGCTCTCAGCGCTGATTCGCTGATGCTTTGTTGGCGGCTGGCCAAGCTTTTCCTTCAGTTGAGTGAGTTGAGTCGCACGTGCTCTCTCTCTCTCTGTTGAAGTGCGCGAACGCGCCCGTGCTGGTTCGCTGACAGCAGGTTTCCTCCACTGCTGGCTGTATGACTCACTTTTGTTGATACATCGCGACTCATGCGATACTCGCTACTCAGCGAGGATCGGAGCCAGCCGCTCCATGCGACTGCTCGTCCTGTGGACGTCTTGACTCGCTGATCTGTCTTGACTCTTGACCTAACTTCTCTGACTTTTGAAAATGCGGCTGACCGTTATATATATAACAGTAAAAGTATTAAAGGTGAAAATCATTTGATAGCGAATTAATTATTGGATAATAATTCACTGATGTATCTGGTGGCCTGGTCTTGATTGGAGTGAGCGCGAGGACCGCTAACTTTAGCTTATTCTTGTTATTGCATTTTTAATTTGAACCGTTGCTTTAATGACAAAGGGAAAAATATATATATATGGTTTAACCCGTGGGCGTCCTCGTTTCTGGCTTGCGGAGGGCTTCCCTCTGCGTGACCTCCCTTAGGGCACATCAAACTCTTGTTCATCTGGAGATCTTCGCAGATAGCTGCTAACATCCTCGCCTCGAGAGTTTTATGATTTCTTTATTTATTAATGGCCTGTTTATGACCGACATCTGGTTTTTCGTGTGCCTGGCTTATGGGTTTTATTGATTTTTTTTTCGTTTGTTAAAAAAAAAATGATATATATAACGGCAAATATTATTGTTAATATAAATTTTGGAAAAGGCTCATATACAACACTCTGCACAGCTACCGCCGCTGTCCAGCACGTCAGCTATGCTGCTGCTGCTGCTCCTCCGGCTACTCCCTCTGCTGCTGCTGCTGCTGGTACCGCCGTGTACCGCCGGGGACGACGACTGTCCCGTGCACTGCGACTGCAACCTGACGGTCATCGACTGCGAGGGGAGGCTCGGCCAGGGTCGGGGCCTGGCCACGGTGACGAACGGCAACGCCACGACCCTGAAGCTGCGCAAAAACCCGGGCCTCGGCGTCATCCCCAGCGGCGCCTTCGACTTCATCGAGAAGCTCCGGCAGGTGGAGCTGGACGCGCACGGCTGGGACTGCGGCTGTGACGTCGACTACCTCCGGGGATGGCTTCTCATGCAGCCAAACAGGATGGACTACCGCCACGTGGGTGTGGGGGGGGGGGGTGGGTGGTGGGGCGGGGGGGGTGGGGGGGGTGGGGGTGGGGGTGGTGAGGGGGTGGGGGGGGAGGGGGGGGGTGGTGGTGGTGGTGGTGGAGGTGGTGGTGACAGTGGTGGTGGAGGTGGTGGTGGAGTTGGTGGTGGAGGTGGTGGAGGTGGTGGTGGAGGTGGTGGAGGTGGTGGTGGTGGAGGTGGTGGTGACGGTGGTGGTGGAGGTGGTGGAGGTGGTGGAGGTGGTGGTGGAGTTGGTGGTGGAGGTGGTGGTGGTGGTGGTGGTGGAGGTGGTGGTGGTGGTGGTGGTGGAGGTGATGGTGGAGGTGATGGTGGAGGTGGTGGAGGAGGTGGTGGTGGTGGTGGTGGTGGTGGAGGTGGTGGTGGAGGTGGTGGTGGAGGTGGTGGAGGTGGTGGAGGTGGTGGAGGAGGTGGTGGTGGTGGAGGTGGAGGTGGTGGTGGTGGTGGTGGTGGAGGTGGTGGTGGTGATGGAGGTGGTGGAGGTGGTGGTGGTGATGGAGGTGGTGGTGGTGACGGTGATGGAAGTGGTGGTGGAGGTGGTGGTGACGGTGATGGAGGTGGTGACAGTGATGGAGGTGGTGGTGACGGTGATGGAGGTGGAGTTGGTGGTGGTGGTGGAGGTGGTGGTGGTGGTGGAGATGATGGTGGAGGTGGTGGTGGTGGAGGTGGTGGTGGAGGTGGTGGTGGTGGAGGTGGTGGTGGAGTGGGGTTTGTCCCTGACAGACATCGCCACCCCAACCAGCTCCAGCCCGCCGGGCGTGACCACCTGCATCCTCACAGCTCACACCACTCACACTTACTCACACTTACTGACACACTCACTCACTCACACCACTCACACTCACTCACACACTCACACACTCACACCACTCACACCACACTCACACACTCACTCACACACTCACACCACTCACTCACACACACACATTCACTCACACTCACTCACACACTTACTCACTCACACTCACTCACTCACACTCACTCACACTCACCCACACTCACTCACTCACACACTCACTCACTCACTCACCCACTCACTCACTCACCCACGCACTCACTCACTCACCCACTCACTCACTCACCCACCCACTCACCCACTCACCCACCCACCCACCCACTCACTCACTCACTCACCCACTCACCCACCCACTCACTCACCCACCCACCCACTCACCCACTCACTCACTCACCCACCCACCCACTCACCCACTCACTCACTCACCCACTCACCCACCCACTCACTCACTCACACACCCACCCACTCACCCACTCACTCACCCACTCACCCACTCACCCACTCACTCACCCACACACCCACTCACCCACTCACTCACTCACCCACCCACTCACCCACTCACTCACTCACCCACCCACCCACTCACTCACCCACCCACTCACTCACTCACTCACCCACCCACCCACTCACCCACTCACTCACTCACCCACTCACTCACCCACCCACCCACTCACCCACCCACCCACTCACTCACTGACCCACTCACTTACTCACCCACTCACTCACTCACCCACTTACTCACCCACTCACCCACCCACTCACTCACCCACTCACTCACTCACCCACCCACCCACCCACTCACCCACCCACCCACCCACTCACTCACTGACCCCCTCACTTACTCACCCACTCACTCACTCACCCACTTACTCACCCACTTACTCACCCACCCACTCACCCACCCACCCACCCACTCACCCACTCACTCACTCACACACCCACCCACTCACTCACCCACTCACTCACTCACTCACCCACTCACCCACCCACTCACTCACCCACTCACCCACTCACTGACCCACCCACTCACTCACCCACTCACTCACTCACCCCCTCCCTCCCCCCCCCACCACCCCCACCACAACAGGTGACCTGCTCCACACCTCCTCACCTGGAGGGCCGCATCGTCATGTACCTGGGTCCCGACGAGGTGGCGGCCGACTGTCGCCGCACTTGTGACCTGACGGTCACCTCGCAGGGCCTCGCCTACGCCACGCTGCTGCTGCACGGCGCGCTCGTCTGCTTCCTCGCCTCCGTCGTGCGCCGGGTCAAGGCGCGGAACGACGGACGCCGCTGGGAGGGCAGCGACGCCGGCGGCGGAGGCGGCGGAGGCGGTGGAGGAGGCGGCGGAGGCGGTGGAGGCGGTCCGGCCGGAGGAGAGAACCCCTACGCGCCGGTCAAGGACGATCGCGACCACACCTACGACCACCTTGAGCCTGAGCAGCAGGCCAAGCCCAAGCAGCGGGCCGTGGCTAAGCAATAGGGGGGGAGGGGGGGAGTGACTGGAGGTGACTGGAGGTGACTGGAGGTGACTGTAGGTGACTGGAGACCCATAGAGACCCATAGAGACCCATAGAGACCCACACCTACGACCACCTTGAGCCTGAGCAGCAGGCCAAGCCCAAGCAGCGGGCCGTGGCTAAGCAATAGGGGGGGAGGGGGGGAGTGACTGGAGGTGACTGGAGGTGACTGGAGGTGACTGTAGGTGACTGGAGACCCATAGAGACCCATAGAGACCCACACCTACGACCACCTTGAGCCTGAGCAGCAGGCCAAGCCGAAGCAGAGGGCCGTGGCTAAGCAATAGGGGGGGTGACTGGAGGTGACTGGAGGTGACTGGAGGTGACTGGAGGTGACTGTAGGTGACTGGAGACCCATAGAGACCCATAGAGACCCACACCTACGACCACCTTGAGCCTGAGCAGCAGGCCAAGCCGAAGCAGCGGGCCGTGGCTAAGCAATAGGGGGGGAGGGGGGAGTGACTGGAGGTGACTGGAGGTGACTGGAGGTGACTGTAGGTGACTGGAGACCCATAGAGACCCATAGAGACCCACACCTACGACCACCTTGAGCCTGAGCAGCAGGCCAAGCCGAAGCAGAGGGCCGTGGCTAAGCAATAGGGGGGGTGACTGGAGGTGACTGGAGGTGACTGGAGGTGACTGGAGGTGACTGTAGGTGACTGGAGACCCATAGAGACCCATAGAGACCCACACCTACGACCACCTTGAGCCTGAGCAGCAGGCCAAGCCGAAGCAGCGGGCCGTGGCTAAGCAATAGGGGGGGAGGGGGGAGTGACTGGAAGTGACTGGAGGTGACTGGAGGTGTCTAGAGATGCCTAGAGATGACGAGATGACTAGAGATACCTAGAGATGACTAGAGGTGCCTAGAGATGACTGGAGATGCCTAGAGATACTTAGAGATGCCTAGAGATGCCTGGAGATGACCGGAGATTACTAGAGATGCCTAGAGATGACCAGAGATGCCTGGAGATGACTAGAGACACCTAGAGATGCCTAGAGATGACCAGAGATGACTAGAGATGACTAGAGATGACTGGAGATGCCTAGAGATGCCTAGAGATGACTAGAGATGACTAGAGATGCCTAGAGATGACTAGAGATGACTAGAGATGCCTAGAGATGACTAGAGATGACTAGAGATGTTGGGGATTACTAGAGATGCCTAGAGATGACCAGAGATGACTGGAGATGCCTAGAGATGGCTGGAGATTACTAGAGATGCCTAGAGATGCCTAGAGATGACCGGATATGACTGGTGATGCCTAGAGATGACCAGAGATGACGAGATGACTAGAGATACCTAGAGATGACTAGAGGTGCCTAGAGATGACTGGAGATGCCTAGAGATACTTAGAGATGCCTAGAGATGCCTGGAGATGACCGGAGATTACTAGAGATGCCTAGAGATGACCAGAGATGCCTGGAGATGACTAGAGACACCTAGAGATGCCTAGAGATGACCAGAGATGACTAGAGATGACTAGAGATGACTGGAGATGCCTAGAGATACCTAGAGATGACTAGAGATGACTGGAGATGCCTAGAGATGCCTAGAGATGACTAGAGATGACTATAGATGACTGGAGATGACTGGAGATTACTAGAGATGCCTAGAGATGACTGGAGATTACTAGAGATGCCTAGAGATGCCTAGAGATGACCAGAGATGACTGGAGATGCCTAGAGATGGCTGGAGATTACTAGAGATGCCTAGAGATGCCTAGAGATGACCGGATATGACTGGTGATGCCTAGAGATGACCAGAGATGACGAGATGACTAGAGATACCTAGAGATGACTAGAGGTGCCTAGAGATGACTGGAGATGCCTAGAGATACTTAGAGATGCCTAGAGATGCCTGGAGATGACCGGAGATTACTAGAGATGCCTAGAGATGACCAGAGATGCCTGGAGATGACTAGAGACACCTAGAGATGCCTAGAGATGACCAGAGATGACTAGAGATGACTAGAGATGACTGGAGATGCCTAGAGATGCCTAGAGATGACTAGAGATGACTGGAGATGCCTAGAGATGCCTAGAGATGACTAGAGATGACTGGAGATTACTAGAGATTACTAGAGATGCCTAGAGATGACTAGAGATGACTAGAGATGACTGGAGATTACTAGAGATGCCTAGAGATGACCAGAGATGACTGGAGATGCCTAGAGATGGCTGGAGATTAATAGAGATGCCTAGAGATGCCTAGAGATGACCGGATATGACTGGTGATGCCTAGAGATGACCAGAGATGACTGGAGATGCCTAGAGATGCCTAGACATGACTAGAGATGACTAGAAATGCCTAGATATGTCGAGATGCCTAGAGATGAATAGAGATGCCTAGACATGCCTAGAGATTACTAGATATGCCTAGAGATGCCTGGAGATTACCGGAGATGACTAGAGATGACTAGAGATGACTAGAGATGCCTGGATATGACCGGAGATGACTAGAGATGCCTAGAGATGGCGAGATACCTAGAGATGCCTAGAGATGACTAGAGATGCCTGGAGATGCCTGGAGATTACTAGCGATGACTAGAGATGGCTAGACATGCTTATAGATGACTAGAGATGCCTAGAGATTACTAGAGATGCCTGGAGATGCCTGGAGATTACTAGAGATTACTAGAGATGCCTAGAGATGCCTAGACATGCCTAGAGATGCCCAGAGATGCCTAGAGATGACTAGAGATGACTAGACATCCCTAGAGATGACTAAAGATGACTGGAGATGCCTAGAGATGACTAGAGATGACTGGAGATGACTAGAGATGACTAGAGATGACGAGATGCCTAGAGATACCTAGAGATGACTAGAGATAACTAGCGATAACTAGAGATGCCTAGAGATGCCTAGAGATGTCTAGAGATGACTAGAGATGTCTAGACATGCCTAGCCATGCCTAGCCATGCCTAGAGATGCCTAGAGATGCCAGCTTCAACTTTGAGTGTCGCGAGTAAAGTTGCTGTTCAATCCGGGGCCGAGTCATCAGTTGCTGGGAGAGGGGTGGGTGGGAGGGTGGGGAGTTTTTCCAAAAATTTACATTAACAATAATTCTTCATTCTTAGCGCTTAAAAAAAAACAGATAAGTTTGTTCCAAAAAGTAATCTTCGTGTTTCAAGAAGGCTTGCCATTCCAAGGTGGTGCGTTAAACATCAGCTGGCCGTCAAGAACATTGGCTGCCCGTCGAGTTACGTGGATACGGTGATTTAGAAATATTTCAGTCGTTCTTAGCGCTTTCGGTAAAGTCACCACGTTGAAGGGAAACAACAAAACAACAACAAATATATATAAAACAATAAAAATTCTCACGACGTTTCGGCCACAACACAAGCGGCCTTCATCAGGTGAAGGGGGCGAGACTGTCTGGTAGGACAGCGCTGTCCTACCAGACAGTCTCGTCGCTTCACCGGATGAAGGCCGCTTGTGTTGTGGCCGAAACGTCGTGAGAATATTATTGTGTTATTTTATTTGATCAATTTATTATTTTATTCTCATTCTACGTGACTTTACCGAAAGAACCAAAGAATATGAATCACTGCAGTCACGAAAGCTTTGAAATAAAAAATAAAACAATAATTCTGCCATTTGTTTAATGACAACAATCAGCATCGATAAACTAAATAAATGAACACCCTCAAACCCGCTACACCCTCCCCCCCCTCCACACACACACACACACACGCACGCACCAAGCATCTGGAGGTCGTGAAAGGCCATCTAAATAACAAACTCCGGGGCAAAAGGGCAGGTTAACCGCGATCAGCAAAATCTCCCGGTTGCCAAAGAGAGCCGCGTGCCTCCACCTGCTTGGCGCTTTGGACAGTTCACGAAACGAATTTCCAGAATCACGGGGCACGGACACAGCGCACAGGGGGCAAACGGACATTGTAACTTGCGCGTATAATATATATAATATATAATATCCTTGTTTCCTTTTTTTGCACGGAAAAAGTTGAAGCTCGGCTGCCTGAATACGTCGGCATCGCAAACCGCGGTGTGCCCTCGTGTGTTATTTCTCACGGAAACTGAAGTGCCAAACGAAGCTTCATCTACTGGGACAGGGAGCAGAAAGCAATGAACCCCCCTCGGAATTACCGGAGGTGACATCCAATGGTGCACATTGCGAAATCTTTGCTCAAACGTAAAAGCAACGAGAGAGCGAGAGCTAGCTAGAGAGCGAGAGCTAGCTAGAGAGCGAGAGCTAGCTAGAGAGCGAGAGCTAGCTAGAGAGCGAGAGCTAGCTAGAGAGCGAGAGCTAGCTAGAGAGCGAGAGCTAGCTAGAGAGCGAGAGCTAGCTAGAGAGCGAGAGCTAGCTAGAGAGCGAGAGCTAGCTAGAGAGCGAGAGCTAGCTAGAGAGCGAGAGCTAGCTAGAGAGCTAGAGCTAGCTAGAGAGCTAGCTAGAGAGCGAGAGCTAGCTAGAGAGCGAGAGCTAGCTAGAGAGCGAGAGCTAGCTAGAGAGCTAGCTAGAGAGCGAGAGCTAGCTAGAGAGCGAGAGCTAGCTAGAGAGCGAGAGCTAGCTAGAGAGCTAGCTAGAGAGCGAGAGCTAGCTAGAGAGCTAGCTAGAGAGCGAGAGCTAGCTAGAGAGCTAGCTAGAGAGCGAGAGCTAGCTAGAGAGCGAGAGCTAGCTAGAGAGCGAGAGCTAGCTAGAGAGCGAGAGCTAGCTAGAGAGCGAGAGCTAGCTAGAGAGCTAGAGCTAGCTAGAGAGCGAGAGCTAGCTAGAGAGCGAGAGCTAGCTAGAGAGCGAGGGCTAGCTAGAGAGCGAGAGCTAGCTAGAGAGCGAGAGCTAGCTAGAGAGCGAGGGCTAGCTAGAGAGCTAGAGCTAGCTAGAGAGCGAGAGCTAGCTAGAGAGCGAGAGCTAGCTAGAGAGCGAGAGCTAGCTAGAGAGCGAGAGCTAGCTAGAGAGCGAGGGCTAGCTAGAGAGCGAGGGCTAGCTAGAGAGCGAGAGCTAGCTAGAGAGCGAGAGCTAGCTAGAGAGCGAGAGCTAGCTAGAGAGCTAGGGCTAGCTAGAGAGCGAGAGCTAGCTAGAGAGCGAGAGCTAGCTAAGAGAGCGAGAGCTAGCTAGAGAGCGAGAGCTAGCTAGAGCGAGCTAGCTAGAGAGCGAGAGCTAGCTAGAGAGCGAGAGCTAGCTAGAGAGCGAGAGCTAGCTAGAGAGCGAGAGCTAGCTAGATCGAGATCTAGCTAGAGAGCGAGAGCTAGCTAGAGAGCGAGAGCTAGCTAGAGAGCGAGAGCTAGCTAGAGAGCAGCGAGAGCGCTAGCTAGAGAGCGAGAGCTAGCTAGAGAGCGAGAGCTAGCTAGAGAGCGAGAGCTAGCTAGAGAGCGAGAGCTAGCTAGAGAGCGAGAGCTAGCTAGAGAGCGAGAGCTAGCTAGAGAGCGAGAGCTAGCTAGAGCTAGCTAGGAGCGAGACTAGCTAGAGAGCGAGAGCTAGCTAGAGAGCGAGAGCTAGCTAGAGAGCTAGCTAGAGAGCGAGAGCTAGCTAGAGAGCGAGAGCTAGCTAGAGAGCGAGAGCTAGCTAGAGAGCTAGCTAGAGAGCGAGAGCTAGCTAGAGAGCGAGAGCTAGCTAGAGAGCGAGAGCTAGCTAGAGAGCTAGCTAGAGAGCGAGAGCTAGCTAGAGAGCGAGAGCTAGCTAGAGAGCGAGAGCTAGCTAGAGAGCTAGCGAGAGAGCGAGAGCTAGCTAGAGAGCTAGCTAGAGAGCGAGAGCTAGCTAGAGAGCTAGCTAGAGAGCGAGAGCTAGCTAGAGAGCTAGCTAGAGAGCGAGAGCTAGCTAGAGAGCGAGAGCTAGCTAGAGAGCGAGAGCTAGCTAGAGAGCTAGCTAGAGAGCGAGAGCTAGCTAGAGAGCTAGCTAGAGAGCGAGAGCTAGCTAGAGAGCGAGAGCTAGCTAGAGAGCGAGAGCTAGCTAGAGAGCTAGCTAGAGAGCGAGAGCTAGCTAGAGAGCTAGCTAGAGAGCGAGAGCTAGCTAGAGAGCTAGCTAGAGAGCGAGAGCTAGCTAGAGAGCTAGCTAGAGAGTGAGAGCTAGCTAGAGAGCGAGAGCTAGCTAGAGAGCGAGAGCTAGCTAGAGAGCGAGAGCTAGCTAGAGAGCGAGAGCTAGCTAGAGAGCGAGAGCTAGCTAGAGAGCGAGAGCTAGCTAGAGAGCGAGAGCTAG